GCTGAGGGGCTGAGCCTGCACTTCTTCGTTCTTAAGAGACTGAACTATAGCTTAGGTTTTAGGGTCACCTTTTCTTTGGGTGTTGTCCAGACTTCCCTTCACAGGCTCCTAGTTGCCCAGAAAAGCTGTGTAGGGAGTCATTTTGGCCTTTGTTTGGAGCCAATTTAGAGGCCTCTGTTTACATGACTCAGCTTTTTTCTTTTTTTTTTTTTTTTTTAAATGGGCAAAAAGCTAATTAAATTTAATATTACAATGACAAAATTTTTTTTTTTTTGAGACAGAGTCTTGCTATGTCACCCTTGGTAGAGTGCTGTGGCATCACAGCTCACAGCAACCTCCAACTCTTGGGCTTAGGTAATTCTCTTGCCTCAGCCTCCCAAGTAGCTGGGACTACAGGCATCTGCCACAACAACCAGCTATTTTTTGTTGTTGTTGTTACAGTTGTCATTGTTTAGCTGGCCTGGGCTGGGTTCGAACCTGCCACCCTCAGTGTATGTGGCCAGCATCGTACTCACTGAGCTATGGACACCACCTTAATTTTGCAATGAAAGGCAATAAAAAGAACCTTGCAACATGTCCACAACATGTGAAAAATACCAGGAAGAGACAGTACAAATTTAACTAATTACATAAAACAACCTTTTACCAACAGTCAAACAAAGAATGCAAACTACAAGGAGAGAAAGAAAGTGGCAGGAGTCTATAGGGATAAACAGAAATTTGGGACCATGGAAGACAAGAGCAAGTAAAAGAGCTTGGAGAGCACATTTTTCAGAAGGCCATCCAGTGCCCTGGGGTCAGAACCATTGCTGGGGACCCCAGGATCTCTGGGGCTAGTTCTTTGCTTAGTTCTCAGCCAGAGAAAAGGAGTCTATACAGAACAGGTTCAAAGCCCTAACACTCCCTTTGGCTCCTTTCTGGAGCCAAGAGGAACTAGAAAGTTTGTTCCCTAGCAGCCTCTCGCCTGTGACCTGGAGGTCAGCAGCCACACCATACACTTTACGGGATGATTGGCATCAACATTACTAGTCTCCATTATTATAACTATAGAGAAAAATAGGATAGAGATATGTGGTTCCACTGAATTTCTCAGTGAATCTATGTCTGGGATCCTCTGTATGAAAAAATTTCAAATGAATTTAATTTTTTAATTTTTATTTTTGCATTCATGTAATCTATTTTTCTTGAGTTCATTGTAATAATCTGTATAGATTGTCCAGTAATTTATTTCTAATTTAAAATATTCCATGTTTCTAGATTTTTGTGCTGTTGAGATTGAAGTTTAAAAAATAATAATATGGAAAAATAAAAGTTTTAGCAATTTTTACTCAACGTCTCAGGGTCTCAGGGTTTTCTGTTGTCAGGAGGGGAACATTACTGCATCACTTGTGTTTAGTCTTCATATTGACTACATGAGAAAAAATGGGGCATATAATCAGAAGTAATTTGAAGAATGTTCTAATTGTATTTAAAATAAAAAAAACTGAGCCTACCTTTCTCTTCATCAATATTTAGACTGACAAATATAAGTTTGAATAAAAACAAATAGAAAATGACACCATAAATGAAGAATGGTATAAGGAGATAAAACTCTGAAAAAACAGATTCGTTAACACTTAAATTATACTTGGTTTTGATACAATTTCTATCCATCTACACATATATATTTATGACAAGAGGTTTATGCATAACTCAAAGTTTTATATAAATGAGAAATTCACACATTTACAATCATATGAAGTGATGTTAAAATCACCTTAGAAGGCTTGGCGCCTGTGGCTCAAGTGGCTAAGGTGCCAGCCACATACACCTAAGGTGGCGGGTTTGAATCCAACCCGGGTCCACCAAACAATGAT